CTCTCTCCAGGCCTTATCTGGGGCCCACCCTCCCAACTCTTCCAACTGCAATTGTCTTGGGTAAGATACGCCACTCCAGTCACCCCATAAGGACCTCGAGCTTGATTCAAATCTAGACTGGTACCTCAACCATCCTCCAAAAGGAGCCGATTCAGGCACTGGTCTCCTACATTTCTCAGGGCAGCCAAAAGGCCCTCAGGCAGGAAGAAACAGCCCAAGGCAGGTAGCATTGGGCTTAGATAGTTTCCCATGCCAACCCTAGAGCAGCCCCAATGTTTTTCAGGGGGAGAAACAATGGACTTGAGATGGGACTGAACAGTTTGAATGGGAAAGACTCTCTATAAGTATATATGTCCTGCTGTATTACAATAAGAAGCTGGGAGCTTTAGCAGGTAGCAGGCTGCCTGAAGAGGACCTCAGGAAAGTGGGTGCAAGGACTACCTATGGGGGCAGCCTTGTGAGCCAACAGGGCTCAGGTCTCCATGCTTAATGCAACCAACTGGCTGGTTAGGACTCTACACCCAAAGAGTGGTTTGCACACCCAGAGGGTGGTTTCCTTATCTCGTAGGCTCAGATTTGTTAGCTCTCCCGTCTCTTCTTATGGCAAGTTATACTTGTGATCTGGGCCTGGAGCTATGGGCACGCACCTCTGGAAAGGCATCGGCAAACTTTCCACCATTCTGCCCTTTGGTTATTCTTTAAAAAAAAAATTATGAATTTATAATTGACATACAATAAAGTGAAGGGTGCACTTTGATAAATTTTGTCAGATGTATATATACCCACAAATACATCACCACAATTAAGATAGTGATTGTCCCCAAAAGTTTTCACATGCCCTGGGTACCTCCTTCCCTCCTGTCCCTTCCCACCTCCCAGTCCCAAGCAACCTGTAACCTGCTTAACTGTCATTATAGATTAATTTTAATGCTCTAGCCTTTTATATAAATGAAATCATACAGGATATACTCTTCTTTGTCTGGCTTCTTTCACTCTGGATGTCCACTTTTAGGAGACCCCATTCTAATGAAATGCAGTTCAGCTCCGACAGTCCTGCCAAGAGCTCATGCTACTTGTCTGTGTAATAGTTAGGTGTCATGAATTCTGGTTAAGCCATATAATTTCTCTATAAGGATGCTAAGTCTACTTTCTGCTTAATAGATCTGTCTCAATCAGCAACAAGAATAATTTGCACTCTTAATTTTTTTCCAAAACATAAAACCTTGAACATTGCTTCCACCCTCCCAATTCTTATCAAAACTTAGTTTAGGGGTGGCCAGTTAGCTCAGGTGGTTAGAACGCAGTGCTCATAACACCAAAGTTGCCAGTTCAATTCCCACATGGGCCACTGGGCTGCACCCTCTACAACTAGATTGAAACGACTACTTCACTTGGAGCTGGAGCTGATGGGTCCTGGAAAAACACACTGTTCCCCAGTAAAAAAAAAAAAAAACACCTCAATTTAGTGAAACCAACTCCACGTAGGACTACTTGAAGACTATGCAGTCCCTCCAGTTCTGTGGATTGCGTAATTACAGATATTCACAGCACTGTGAATTTGGATTGCATTGTTTTAACACTTTCTAGAATTTCTGTTTTCTTAATATTTTTTTCATTTTTCAATTACAGTTGACAATCAATATTCTGCTCTACCATCTTGACTGGAAATCTCTCTAGGAGCTCTTGTAATGAATTGTGCTTTGACGTTATGCTCTGAGATTGCAAGGACTCAATAAAAATTGGGCATAATGCTGAAGAATTAATAGGTGAAATGGTATGATGTCTGGACTTTGTTTTAAAAGATCTCCAGCAAAAAAAGTGGTGTGGGTAAATTAAGTAAGTATGCCAGAATTTAGGCAGTTGTTGAAGCTGTGTTATGGATATAAGAAGATTCATTATACTCTGCTCACTACTTTTGTGTGTGTTTGAAAATAATCACCCAAAGCAGAGTTTCTAAGAAATTCACCATCATCTTTATTATAGGGATATTGTTTAAGATTTTATTCACTTACCACTGCAGTATACTGCCAATGAGGAACTAAACCTACTAAGAGTAGGTTTAAGGCTTAAATAAAATATTTATCTTAACCAATGACTGGTTCAGAGTAATCACTTAATAAGCAGCAGTTGTTTATTGTATAATGTTCCCACCAGAATTGACTTGAATCATATTTTCTGACAGGCTGTTACTGATAAATAAAAAATCTATTGCTTTTATATATTATTTTGCAATTGTCCACATTTCTGAACTTACTTAAGCTGGACCTACTTGGAACTTGGAAGTTTCTTTGCCATTAGACAAAGAACAAAGGAAAAATATTTTCCTTCTGAGAGGTTAGTTTAGGGGCATACTGAACATATGAAGAGTTTCTGAAAGTTTAAAATTTTCCAGTCTCTGGGCCGGCCAAAGGCACGTTGGTTAAGAGTAGGCTCTGAGCCAGCTCTGAGCATGAGGGCCAGTGACGCTCCGCCCTCTACAGCTAAGATGGTGAAAAACAGCTCAACCTGGAGCTGGGCTGCCGTGAGTCGACGGTGTAGGATGCAGTGGGGCTGGCCGGCAGCTGGCATGCGCTTTTGTGAGCTGCAGTAAGCCACCGTGAGCAGCCGTCCAATGGCTGGCGAGTGACTGCCTCACCCAGGCAGAGCACAATGATAATGCCAACATGGGCCAGTGAAGCAACATCCTCCACAACTAGACTGAAGAACAAAAAGGACAGCAACTTGTCTGTTCCCCCTTCCCCGATTCCCCATTGCTCTTCCTCTCCCCCAACTCCCCAATAAAATCTTTAAAAAAATAAAATAAAATTTCCAGAGTCCCAGTCCAGAAGATAAGAATTTAGTATGAAATATTAAAAGAATAACACACCATAACCAACCAAGAGTGCAAAGATAGCTTAATATTTTTAAATATATTCAAATTTATCACACCTATAAGCAAAAGGAGATAAACGGTGTGTTCATTTTAATTATTTACATTTGATAAATTTGAACAATTAATCCTATATAATATAAAAAAAGAATTCTTAGAATCTAGGAATAGAAATATACTTCCTTATCATACTAAAGAATGTCAATTTCGAATTAACAACCAACATAGTACTTCCTGAAATATCCCTATGATATCAAGAATTGGGCAAATTTCCCTCTGTAACCACTATCACTATTATTCACATTTCCTAGACAGTCATATTCAATACAATAAGATAATATGAAATTAAAGAGCCTAAACATATATTTGAAAGGAGGAAGAGATCAAAGTATTCTTATTTGCAGACTTGATTATCTTCCTAGAAAGTCAGAGTATCAATTGAAAAACTATTAAGTTCAGAAATGTGGACAATTGCAAAATAATATATAGAAGCAATATATTTTCTATTTATCAGTAACAGCCTGTCAAAATATATTTCAAAGAATTTTCACTCACACTGTGAAGAAATATATAAAATACTTAGAAATATACTCAAAATAAACATTCACATTCATTCACATCATGGAAAGATTACAAACATTTTTTTTTTAAGATTTTTATTGGGGAATTGGGGGGATGGGAACAATGCTGGGGAATTGGGGAAAGGGGAACAGACAAGCTGCTGTCGTTTTGTTCTTCAATCTAGTTGTGGAGGACGTTGCTTCACTGGCCCAAGTTGGCACCATCATTGC